CGACTCGACCCACGACAACGACATTTGTTATGAGAATCGTGAGGTGGAGGTGGGGGCGGGGGAGGGGGAGTTCCCCCAAGTGGTCAGTGTAGATTTTGAGCAGAGTTTATTTCGAGGAATGGTTCGTTAGGTACCTCGAGCAGGTACCACGGCGATGTTGGTTCTTGAATTATTGGATAGTGTGCTTGTTCTTTGAATGTTAAGGGATATGGCCAGGTATCGGCCATCCCTCCTCCCCGTGTCTATTCGGTATTTTAGGATTAAAATGTGGGAATGATCTACGTGTCGTTTCATTTTTTCACGGGAAACTAGTACAAATATAATAAATGACGTGACGTATATTAGGGCGAGGAAAGAAATATTTTTAACCCAAATGAATTCTATCTATATCTAATGATTTTAACAGATTTTTATAACAGATTATTCAAAATAAATAATTGGATAAATCAATAGAAGATATGTCAAATGAGACGTATAATATTGAAACTGTCCATTTTTTTAAAAAGCCATATAATTACGAATAATATCATTTTCTTTTGTTCAAACATATTTAAATTTTTACTTCTACTTAAACAAATGTCTCACTTGTGTTTAGACATAGATAGTTTTGATGTCGTACCTCTCTCAAATAAAACCACATCCAAAATTGACGAATACTTACACGAACCATCCTGAAAGCCATCAAACTCGCCAATCATCCTCAAAACCTCGAGCTGTTCCCCGCTTTGCCCTCGAACGAAGTTACGTCCGTAGAATTTCAGCGGAACCGTCGAAGGCGGAAGACGAATCACTGGTAGGGGCGCTGCTCGTCCCTGAGAATTCCAGGACAAGTGGCACAGCTTCGTGGACTCCGCACGACGTGCGCAAGGTGAAGCAAAGTGTGGTCGTTTCTCGTATCTGTCCCCTCCTCCGCCTCTACCCCTTTCGCTGCCACAGGTTGTTCTTCGAACCGGAGCTCGCCGGGCCGAGCTGAACCGTGTGGCCATTCAGCCGAAGCAGGTTAATATCTCGACATTGTGGACACAAGTAATGGGGGCCTTTGCGCTTCGGGACAAGCGGATGGAAGCGCGCCGAGATATTTCCTTATCACGACCTTTCCTCATTTTTTCCACCTCCTGTTCTCTCCGCTATTTACCGTCCTCGCTGATTTACCACTTGTATTTGAAAGTTTATAGCCCGGTACGCATTAGTGGACGGACTTTAACAGCGCCGGATTTGGCTATCGGCGTTTGTGTTTGCCATATTTTTTGCTACTTATGGGTTTAACGATGGGAAACCCCGCGTTAGGGTCATCGTGACTGCGGGAATAACGGTGGATCACGGGGCTAAATGGGTGTATCTAACACCTTTCTTCGTTTATTACTACGTATATATATATATATACCGGTCTTATGTTGGATCTAATGTTGGTTCGAATAAGAGGTAACAATCTCGATAGTGCCATCTAGGTGGCACTTTTTTGCTCCATGCGCCATCTCGACTCATCTCTCGCGCGTAATTGACGTTCCACTTCGATGCGTTTCGATAGAAGATGACGGTGAAATTTAATAATAAGACTGAATTTTGGTATGTCGATACCAAAGGAGATTTCTAACGATCGGTTAAAACGTAGTTTTAGCGATGATCAGTCATCTTTAATAGCGATCGATTAATATCGTTTGTTAATTCGTTAATTATTTCCATCTATTCCTTCGATACGATAACTGTGCAATCCATTTTATCACTTGTACTTTTCTCGTCTCGTTTTTAAACATTTTTTTATTATTTTAGAACCGAATATACCGACAACGCAGAACAATGACTACATTCATCCTAATCAAAGCGGTTGAACGGTTCAGAGCAGCGCAAATTCGTGCCGATATATTTATCGACGTCAGCTCTAAATCCATTAATTCGATTCCGCATTATGCAAATTCAGCGGCGCGAGCCTCAACGTCCTCAACAGGCGCACGTGGGCGAGACACACGGAGCCCGCTACTTGTAGCGTTCGTTCCAGCTGTTGCTTGGATTCGTTCAAACAAATTTGAGGTTGCACTGTCCCGGAGGTTCCGCCAAGAAACCTCGCGTAGGCAGTGGAAGTTCTGACGACTCGACAAGGAACAAGGTATTTCGATTTTTTCGACAATGGAATTTCCTGAATTAGTCAACAGAAAATTTCTCCTCGCGTCTTTGATTTTCAATCGAAACATTATCGATCTTTTATACCAAATAATATTCATATGTGGTTCGTTCGTTCTTTTTTTCATTCATTTTTCAATTTTAGAGATCACATCTCCAAAAAATCATTGTACATATAATTATTTATTTTTAGAATTTTGTTTGTAAAAGGATTTACAAGTATTACGATTATTCTATTATTGTTTGTAATACAGATTTTACGCGTAAAAGTTAAAAAAAAATCTTTACGGAGATTCGAGTCCGTGGCGAGGATCCCCGGAACGGGGTCTACACACCCTTCGCCAAGGCGTTGTCTTGATTCTTTCGTGTTGTCGCGTTCTTTTCGATTATATACTCTACATTTATGTAATATACATACTTATTATTTACTTATAAACGACAAACAAACTGCATAAATATGAAAAGAGATTATTTGACTGTCGCAAAAGAAGGCCACCATTAAAAAAATGGTTGAGAAACACTGTATGTAATTCTGTCAAATTCTGTTTTATTCTCCTCCCGTTATTTACCTTCGAAACGACGATTTTGACCACGATCCACGTCGAATCAAATTAAAACGGCCGATCTCCCCGCGGCTGTAAACATCAAGAGCCGTGCACGTTACACGAATATAAACACCGTTCGTTTCGCACGTGTGGATGAAACGCGGGTCGCGTTCACGCCATTAGAATTCGTTTTGTCCGCGAAATCGCGGCGAACGCATCGCGCGCTTTCTCCTCGAATAAACGCGAGGAGCCTCGAGGCAGGCAACCCGCTCGACCAACGTGATTCACCTGCGCGCAGGTGTGACTAATTAGAGTCAGCGGCGAGCCAGACAATCGGCAAGCAGCACGGTCGTGCTTTCTCGGGCTTAATCGCTCGAAAATGGTCCGGGTCAAACGTGTGTGCGTTTACGTAACGCGTGCGCGCTTCGCCCGGCATGCGATGAACTTTCGTATAATGAAAGTCAAATGAAAGTTCCATGTAATAACGCCGATTCTTTCCAATGGACTCAATCGTGGCGCGATCCACCGTCGCTTAAATTCTGCCTTGTCGAAACGTGTCACGCTCGACATTTAATTTTAAAATTCTGTTACACGAAAGATACCGGGACCTTATATGTAATTTAGCGATCTTAAAGTCGAAATTGAAACAATTTTCTCAAGTCTGGAACCTCGTATTTATATCCTCGATCCTCTCATAACAATCAAATATTTCGTATCGAAATTCGAAATCAACGAACTTAATCCTCGACTTTCTTACCGCAACCTACTACAAAATAACGTCAATAATCGGGAAAGAATCGACAACTTCCGAGAAAATACCCGGCTTCTTACCCGGTTTCTCAGTAAGAAGCTTTCCATGTAACAAGCTCGTCGACCTCACGAAAATCCCCGCCCGCCAATCCCAGTAAGTAAAAGCAGGACACGTTAGAGGATTGTACGAGATGCGTGTCCCGATCTTCGGTCCTCTCGCGCGTGGGAACGAGGCGAGCGAAGCGCGGAAGCGTGATGCCGGCCACGGCAGGAGGGAGACTCGCGTTTTCGTACGATGATAAATGATCTCATCACAGGGCATTTAGAACGCGGCATCGAGGTGTCTCGAGCCGAAAAAAGAAAAATGCCTCGACCTGGCTACGGTCTGCCAGGTGAAGAAGGGCAGAAGGAGGGGAAGGGCTCGTTTAGAGCCGAGGGCGAGAGGGCACGGATCGCGTGAAAATATTGCTCGAGAGGGCAGAGGCTGGAACAAATTTAACACGGCGACGCGGAAGTATCATTAACGCCCCGTGAATAGCTTTGATTTCTAATTATAGCGTATAATTATTGGCCAGGGAAATTGTGTGTATCGAAGGTGTACCGGTCAAGTGGGTTACGAGTCAATCATCGGTTCGAGGCCCGGCTCTTTGAATTCGTCGTGGGGATCGATAAGCGGCAAGTTAATGAAGCGGTTGATAAATGGGAGCCGGTGAAATCTGTCGTAACTTTGCTTTCATTTTGAAGGAATTAATTAATTAATATTGTATCCTTGCCTCTTCGATTTGTCGGATCGGATGGATAATTAAAATAGCTTGAATTTTTTTCGCTCTTCAAAATTTACGACGACGTGCCAGTAGTTTTTGTATTAGAATATCAAATGGCATTGGATTTTTTAATTGAGTTTGAAATTCAGAGATTCAGATAACGAAAAGTAATAAAACGATTATTCACTACTGTCCAAAATAAAAACGCAATATTATTATTCCTCCTTTGCAATAATCGAAACAGATTTGATTAAAAGAAAAAGTTAATGTGTTTAAAGATTATACACCCAATAATACCGAGGGCAGCATAAATTAACACAGATTACTACTTGTCGATGAACCGCTAATAACCCTAGCAGCATCCCCTTTCGCGTACCCGAGCGCTCTCCTCCACTACACGCCATCACTACACTCTAAAACAGAACAAATAAATGAATAGAGAGGGAGTAGTAGTATACTGATTGGCCCCCAGGAAGATTACATTCGACGTTATTACCACGAAATCGACGGAAGAGTCTCCTTCGGTTTCGCAACGAAGAGGGAGAGGAGAATAAAATCAAATGGAACAGAACGCGAAAACTAACCTAACCCGGCCCATCCACAGCCCTCCTCCTCCTCCTCCTTCTCCCCATAATGGAGAGGAAGAATCGAGGGTCCCTTGGGACTGAAAAACAAGACCGAATATAGATTATCGCGAGGCTATGGATACGCGCACGCTCTATAACCGTAATAACCAGTTAAACGTTTTCGCGACGACGGGGCGGCCTAGAGAGAGGGTCTGCAACAGTCCCTTCTTCTTCTTCTTCTTCTTCTTCTTCTTCTTCTTCGAGGGGACTGGAGAAAAGAGGGTCGAGACGTGGGACGTCGAAAACTAATATCGAAGCCGGGAGGGCCTCGCAATTGCGGTCGCGAGGAACGGCCCTGGCTACCGTGGGCCGCATCTTCACCGGGTAACTTTGGTCCACGTGCTTGTCCTTGAACACCCACCGCCCCTTCGGGATCAGGTTCCAATAATTTCGCGGCGGGTAGGACTAATTTTGAATGCCATTAGTTAGCACACGCCGCCTGGGATGATCCAGCCGCCGGAACGGATTGTTATTTCATTCGTTCGTTTCAGTTCCTCCCTTCCTTTCCTACCCTCCACTCGCCACTCCCTCCCTCTCTCCCCCTTTGTTCGTGATCGTTGCGTCGCTCCAATACGCCGCTACCGTGTGTTATGGAAGGTACGAACGCCAACGCGTCCAGGCCTTTTCCTTCTTCTCATCTTGCATCTTTCTCCTTCGCGCATCATCCCCCTTCCCCGCCTCGTGGCGCCACTTCTGATTGAATCGGCTACGCGGCGATATGCGGCGCAGGGATTCGTGGCGCACGTCGGCGTGCTCGTCTGCGAATTCCGCGGGATCGTTTCTGTCGACCATTTCCCAGCGTCGATCGGTACGCGCGGTATTGGGTCACTGGGCGCGCGGATGAATCGAGATCCCCTTTGTTCCCGTCTCCGTCCACGTCGAGCGTTATCGGCTCGGGTCGTCTCGCTTCGACGCTCTTCCGTCTGTGGGCGATCACGCCGCGTAACATAGCCCCCTTGATCTTTTCCTCGATCGAAGCTTGACGCGCCTTCGTCCGAGAGCGTGCGTGGCTTTAAATATGCGCGATCGATCGAGTTGATCCTCTTGAAGGGAATTAAAAGAATTAAAAAATTCCCTGCTATTTTCTTGAACCAGCTAATCTACATTTTATTCGTTAAGATATTCTCGCGATTCTGTTTCATTCACATTCGGATATCTATAGAAGTAATTATAGAAGAGTGCGTCTCATGTTTGAACCAGATTTTCCATATCCCCAGGGATCATCGATCGCGCAATCTTCGATTGATTATACGGCGACGCGTCGAGTTTACCAATGAACTATAGCATTCCAGGATAGGGAGAGGATGGAAAGGAAGTCACGGAAAAGCGGAGCGCGGGGAAAAGAATAGCATGGAAGGCGGATGGATCGGTCGGCCATTAGGTGGTATTCTCGTATCGACAGCATAGTCTCTCCCGGCTATTGCCCGTACACGGCCACATAGTCGCTCACGTAGTCGGCTTTGATGTGCCGCTTGTGCATTGTAGATGCATTATAATGCATACCCACTAAGAAATCCGGGGCCTATGTTGGTATTATGGCCGAGCGCCTCCTCTCCCGTGGCTGCAGCTTCGATAATCGAACGCGCCGTCCCGTGCACCTCGGCCAGGATTATATGAATAGAAAGGCGGCGTGATACGTGATGGGCGTGTGCAATTGAAAATCATATTACGTAAAGGAGCGGGGCAGGGACGAGGCCCGGTGAAAATTTGCAGTTCTTTTTCAACCGCAGCGCCACGACCTCCCACCCTGCTTGTCGCATCCCTGCTCTCGGTGCTGTTCGAGAGTTCCCCCTTTCACCTTTCGCCCGTTGTCCCAGCGGTCGCGCGGACAATCGCGGCTTCACGTGTCGCGCGCGCGGAATTACGATGGACAGACGATGTTGATCGAACGATAATCCTGAAATAAACGCGGCTTACATTGCGCCGCGCGATCGTTGACCGGAATAACGATCGAGGATGATGTAGCAGAGCGGCAAGTTTTCTCGTTTATCGCGGTATTTGGTCCAAGTTTATACGAATAATTCCTTCCTTCCGCGCGAAAGAGCGGCCGCGTAATATAATTCTTATTGCGTGTTGAGTATATTGAGTTAATTGTGCGAGAAAGATAAATTAAGCGTAAGATGTAAGATTGTTTAAGGTGGAAGTATCGAGAATCAAATTATGCAATAACTCGAAAATACTTCGAGATATTCTTTATCGGCACAAGAAGATGCATCGATGAATCAAGAATCTAACTCGATGAGAAATAAAGATATTTTAAAGCTTGGAAAAACTGATCTAAAAAATGAAGAAGATCCATTTAAAACGGCATTCGCCTTTTTATGTCAAAAAGACACAATTTTACCAATTGAAAATTACCAATTCCAAATCAACCCTAACTTATTTTCATCCGATGAATCAACGAAAAGCAAGAATCCAACTCGGCGAGAAATAAAGATATTCTAAAGCTTGGAAAAACTAACCTAAAAACCGAACGGCTTACACACGGTATTCCCCCATTTTCTATCAGAAAGATACAATTTGACCGATTAAAAATTAACCGAGTCCGAATCAATCCTAACTTATTTCACGAGGCCGATTCGACTTCCGGCGGCACGTTCTCGCCGTGTTTCGACCGGCTTCCTCGACAGAAGCTACCTCTCTGGCTGGCCTATAATTTGCGCGGTCGTGCCCGGGGGATCTGCTCCGAGTCGTCCTCGCGGAATGATATTCCGTTTGCCCGGGGGATCACGGGGGAGAAGAAAGAAGGCCTCGATGTCCGGTAGCAGCCACCGGGCGCGGCGCCACCGTCGCACGCAATTACAACGCTCCCGGCCGTTTTTAATCTTGAACGTCCCGAGCAAAAAACGTAATAACTTTTTTGCCACCACGATTACGAGGGGCCCCTCTTCTCGGGCTTGGATCGGATGAGCCGTTGGCGCAAAATTGGAGACTCCGCCCCCGCGTGGATCGTTCGGTCCCTGGATAACGACCAGCCTGTATGCAAATAACGTCCTGGCGCAGGCGGTTTTCGCGGAACATTATTATATCGCTTCGCCCGGTTAAATTACGCGTGCAGATAGACGCGCCACGATAGACGATCAAAAACGGGGAAAAAACATCGACACCATCAGTGACATCGCCGGAGGGGAGAGCGCAGATGCAGAAGAGCTTCTGACAACTTTTTAATGGAACCCCTTCCCGTCGTTTGCGTCCCGTTTGATTGTACGCTCGAACGAGTCGATGTATTTATATATACTGATATACCGTGTTATTTAGAGGGAGTTTAGAAAAACTCCCCTCCCGGGATTAACTCTCTCGCGAAATATCTTACGTGGTGGATATTTCCCCGCGGGATATATTTCATTTCGCCGACTCTCTCGTTATACTCGTCCGTTTCGGAACGGAACACGCGATGCTTCGCCACACGCCACGCTATTCTCCCCCGCAAGATGCATGGAGCAAGGTGTGAGCCGGGTGTCGGCGAAGGTGGAGGCGTCATTGTCGCGCTTCGCTTCGTTTCACCACATTGCGTCACCAGGCGTACGCGACGCGGCCTAGGAGCCGTAGAAAGCGTACGAATCGAATGGGCAACGATCATTTGTCAAGCGAGAACGTCCGCGCGCTAGAGGAGCCGCAGACGACTACCGCTATCGCGTCTAAACGCGGATTATCGAGGGAAAAGGGGAGGGGGAAGGGGAGGAGGGGGAGGATGGAGGAGAGGAGGGAGAAGAGGAAAAAGACGAAACCTCGCGCCTACCGTATCTCGCCTGGGAGAGTGATATTTCTATCGTGGATGTTGAGGTAGGAACGTGTTAACAATCCCTGCCTCGCCAACCGGCCGATTGATGGCCGTAGAAAAGAGGATTTATTATAATCCTGACTATTATCACTGTTCCCCGACCCGGGGACAACGACGACTCTATCGATGTTTCGATACTCGTTATGCTTTACCCTGTCGATTTCTATTTATCGGTCCTTGGCGATACTGATCAAGTATCAATCGTTTCATAGCGGTCAGTAAAATGCACGTGTTGTCGAAAGAGAAAGAAAAAGAGGAGACGATAAAATCGATGTAAATGAATTTTGTTCAAATACGCATAAAAAAAATTTATGAATAATAAGAACGTGTATACAGATATATGCGAAATTAGAATCAAATTATTCAGTTCAGAATCAGTTAGAATATAAATCGTACGTAAAAGTAAGATGATATTAAGGTAATCAAGTCCAGGTAAGCGACATGGCCGTTTTGAATACCCTAATGCATTCCAGGTGCACACATAATGTTCCTGGTTCAATTAGGTCACCTGATGCTCCCGAGAAATTTTATTCATCTGATGGACTCCGTGTGATTTGATGGACCTGATGCATCTAACGTACATTATGCACGTAAGATACCTATAATCCAGCCGTTGCCCCGGATACACTGAGTTGAATTAATGAGTTCATCTAAGAGTTAAAGTTAATCTAGTTTATACGCTATGAAAGCTACAGTAAATTACATTTCGAACCTTATAATCTTATCCTAAGAATATAAAACTCCATATCTTGTGTAATTAATAAACCTTCAAGCTATCAATATTAATCATATGATCATTATGCATATATATAAAAAAAAAAAAGAATGGTATCGATACGAAGAACTGCTTTCTTAAAAATTTAACATAATAAACATAAAACTTCTTATTTCGATAAAACGAGAGTTCAAACTATTAATTTCGAATCATCGATATTTCCAAGCGTATATTTGATTTTTGAAAATTTAATTTGTAAACGAGAAGTGTAATAATACCATATCAAAATAATTTATATCATATCTCAGAAACAAATTTAAGCTCGACAATATCGAATTAATTTGACGTCTCTGAGACTCCACAACATCGTTCATGTAACAAAATATAAAAGTAGGACAAAATATAAAAAAAAAATCAAAAAACAGCTGTCTACTAAATCTTTTAATCTCGTTACCTTCATGAATGTCTCATGACTACGAGCCAAGGGGTGTAGCTACATTCTATCAACACCCTCTCTCACCTTTAATTGATCACCACGATCAGAAAGTTGGACGTCGCGTTTATCAGCTTACATCGATTCGCCGTTCAACGTCACGTATCAGATGCACGCAACGATCTTCTATTCGTCCCCCTCCCCCTCCAGAACACGCTACTTTTTGCTACGAGGATCACTAGGAGGATCACGAAACTGTGGATCCGTTGCGCAATTATCGAGGCGAGGATCCCGCGGCTTTCATCGATCCCCGTGGATCCACGTGGAGAGGAGAAGATTACGAGGGGAACCGAGAAGATGTCGATGCGTGGATTGCTTTATTAAATTTTGCGCAACGCAAACGATTTTCCAACAGCGACCGAGCAGACGAGCTATAAATCAACCGGTACAATGACACGGCGATCCTCTCCACGATTCCCTCTCTTTTTCTCTTTCTCGTGGACCGTAGCTCGCGGGCAAATCCGCGTGTCGTTTACTTACGTAAATGCACTGTAACTTGGCCAGCAGATGATTACAATCAGGTAGGTACAGGCAGGTAGGTACAAAGCTTCCGATCCAAGCATCGTTTCGCGGCATTAATTCGCGCCTATTCTGCCGCTCGAGACAGATGTTTGTCACTCGTCGGTTGATTGGTTATTCGGGAAGAATCGTATTTCGTTCAATCGAAAATGGACACGTTGTCATGCTACGATTTCACGACATTATCTTGGATTGGGTCGTATAAATTGTTTCGATGTATCAGTTTATTATATATAATATATAATATTGGAATTAGAAGAATATAAAAATATACGAAGAAAGAAATATTTTCTTTTCTTAAATGTTTTTTAACTTCTTGAAAATAGTTTTCACTATCACTCGTATATTATTATGATGATTAATTATTTGTTAAAAGATTTTAAATAGATTTTTTTGATATCTGAATCTAGTAGAACAGAGATATATTTTTAGAAAGAAAACAATCGGTGCTTAAAAAGTTTTGAATAAATGATTTCAAATTTTAATTTTAAGAAGCGATACGACTAATTAATGCATAATACTTGCACAGAGGAATCAACAGTTAAATAATTAAATTGGAAATTCATACAAATCAATGATACATCCAATATTTCTGAATATATGAATTATCGTTTGAATATACACCATCTATTCACTATCAATTCCAATATTCACCATATTCATTCGAGTTGATCAGTTACAGATTGGTCGGTATAAACTTCCTTTTCGGTCGTGAATAAGTTGGCTCAAAGTATATATAAGATTTATCCATCTTCCATGAAACTAGCGATATTCAATTTGCGTACGGTAATCAACTCGTCTCTATTCCGCGGTTGTGACGTTAATCTTTCGTACAATGGTCGTTCGTTACACGTATTCTACTTCCTCCCCACCATTTTTCCTATTCGAGATTCAACAGGTTTGCACCGGGTCTCTGAAGAAGATGCAAGGATTGCTCAAGGATTACTCCTCCAACCGGAGGATTGCGACCGCTCACTATTTAGCTAATTTACATTTATAAAGTGAGATTTTTCCGTATACCTGGAAAGCCGCCATTAATCAAGCCAACGTGCGTACCACGTTACGCGTAATCCTGTTCTCAAGTTTTTCCAAGATACGTTGGAAAATATCATCCGGCTGGGAAACCGATCATAAATATCGATGCGGATTTCTCAATCGAAAAATAAACGTCGATGAATTAGATGCATCATCGAATAAATTGTAAAATTTAACAGGAAAATATCCAACCAAATTTTAAATAACCGACCGAATTCATTTTTGTCAATTTTAATCTCATCTCGAACTAAAGCTTTACGATTTTTATATGTATAATTGATAATTACAATTAACGATACCGAAGATCTTTATAAAATCTTCTTCCTTTCCTATCTTTCTTTCCAGATAAAAATTAACCGAATCTCTCAATCTTCGAAGCGCTTTCTTAGAAGTGCTCGCCTCCATCCAAAAAAAAAAAAAAAACCAAAAGAGACTTTATCGAAAAGCCTCGAAAAGACGCGTTAAAAAAGTATACACGCCGGAGATAAATCACAAGAGAGATCGAGTTTCCGGGGCGCTCGATAAAATTCAGCTCGCCCATCATTATAAATCCCGACAGCCACTTTATCCCAATCGCAGTGTACCCGTAGGGCACACTGGAAACGTCCATCAGGGAACGTCGAAAGCCAGCTCTTCTGCGGGGGTGGATACGGCCCTCCCTCACGAGAGGTTCCACCATCTTTTTTCTCTCCCGTGAGCGCGAGTTGTGTATCGTGGATATCGCGGTAGAATGATTGATAATCGATCGTGCCGAACTGGCCTGCGTCTCGCTTATCCAACGAAGATGAATTCGTTCTGCGCCCGATCCTAATTGTGCGCAGTCAGTGGTCCACGCAGGAGGTGGGGGGTTCCAGAATCCATCCTACGCCCACGCTGCGAGAAAAAAGGAGGGGGAGGGAGGCAGGCTTTGAGATAAGGGGAGGAGGAAGAAACGAGGAAATAGAAAGTGCGCTAACTAACCTCGAGCTGACCCTCTATCGATATCCTCGCCCGACGTTCGACCCCCGTGATCGCGTCCCTCTCGCTCCTTCCTGTTTCGGCGTATCGTGCGCGCCTTGTTTGCAATGGCGTGGAACGATTTTTGCGGGCGAGGAGGAGGAGGATGCCCACGGAACGATGGCGCATAAAACACATCGGGGTTAATGCACCGCTATAAATATAATGGCGGTGTGCACCGGCTAGCGGCGCGAAATTAATTACGCAACGTATTTACGCCGATGCGATGCCGTTAGGCGTGATCGAGCATCCCGTGCCGCGAAAATGAGACGGGGAACCGGCGGTGATGAATTATCGGCCGAATATAATCCTGTTCGCTCGATAAAGAGACTCTTACCGCACCCCCCTCGTTAATTCGATTCACTTTGCACGTCATCGGGATTTAACAGGTGTCGTGAAGTATGTGATTCAAGTATTGGTATTGTAGGGATAATAGGAAATATCGAGTAGCGTCTTTTTTTTCAGTGGTTTAATTCATCCAAGTGTTTTATATAATATATACGACGAAAGTTTCAAGAAATTTGTGCAATTAAAGATAAAGAAAGTATCGAAATGAAAGTTGAAAAATCTTTTCGATATTCCATTGCGAATATCTTTTATCTGCCCCGTATTTCCAACATGGGAATATAAACGAAATCAATAGTGTATCTAACACAATTTCCCTTTCGTTAAGAGCGAATTTTTACCAATGGAAGACTATCTCGTCGAGACCGGTGCGTACGTATCCGAGAGAACTTTACGGGTCGTGAAGCAATCAGACATTTATTGTACACTTTCTAACGTATTCTACGTGTCGGTGCCTAATTAAGGAAGGAGAGGCACTCGTAAGAGTTCGATCGTAAATAATTCCACTAAAAATTTCTCCTTAACCCAAGTCGACCTCCGCTACGCACGTCGACTCGAGAAGACCGTCGAGCTGAACTTGCCGGGTCGATGATAAATATAAAAATGGTGGGATGACAAGTAATTCGCCATTAACGGTACAAGCCACGACAATTCGAAGCCGCCGACACCAAGCTCTCTTTCCCTCGATCGATATCGCATCGAGACGATCCGTTTCGTGAAATGATCGATAGACGAATCGGTGGTCGTAACATGATCGATAGACGCGTGGATTGTTTCTAACGATCCGTCTCAACGATCGTGTACTCGTTGTAACTCGATGGTTACCACAGGAATATCTCTTCTCGTTTCGCTCTCGATAGAACTAAGCCAAAAGAAACGATTTTTGCAATCTTCTCGATTAGGGAGAAAAACTAATTGAGAAGATTTAAGAGGATTAATTAATTCGTCGTCTCAATAATTTCATCTATCTTTCTCGCATACGTTTTCGCAGATTATTCGTGTCCCTTGAAATTTCTCTGAGTTTCTTGCTCCTTTTCATTTATGGAACGCTGGTTTTTGGAGAAATTAATAGACACTCGTGATCTCTACTTAAGTTGCAATAATTTTATCGTTATCACTCGTGGGATATTTTCGTTATTAGAGGGCAAAACAAACATATAAATTAATATAATAAGAATGTCGGTTGAAACTTGTTTATTAAATTACAAGCAATTGAAAATTAATAGAAGATATAAAACTTTATTCTCCCCTGTCATTTAATTCAAATTATTTACGCAATTTAATAAATAAACCTCGACCAATCTTTTTATTAACTTTGTTTCGACCTCTTACAATTTTCCAAAGAAAATATTCCACGAGAATATCAACGCTCTATCCAATAATAAATTTTCCAAATCGCATAATAACTTGAACTCTGAACCAACATATCAGTTGTCAACGAGTTTTTTTCAAAGACAACTCAATCTTCCATCTAGACGCGTGTATCCTCTCTTCTCAGAGGGACTCGTGGTCGAGTGACTGAGTCGTGGCTGAGCAACAGCGTCGAAATGAGACGCCATAAAGGCGATCCTATAAATGCGTTTCCACCATGTAAACCCTGGAGTTTGGATGCTGTCGCGAGGACGGGCACCTGTGCTTCTTCCTTTTAATGTCCCCACCGACAGCACAATGTGAAACCTACTCGCGACAACTTTATTAGAGAGAGTCGCGGCTACGTCGTCGCGTTTCAGATTATAACGCGTATACCACTCGTAACTATTACAGGGATACATATTATTCCCCTGTCTTCTCTCTTGTTAAAGGTCTTCCAGTGTATCGAGATCGAAGATTCGACCGCAAGATGCGTTGCGAATCGTCGGTGGAATGGAAAATGGAAAAGTAAATCGAAGCATCGAATAACAATATCTCGTTCGAATTTTCCAATTTTTAAATAATTTGAAATTGCAGAATGTGATATGTAATATATAATATATAATTAATTAGTTAATTGATCGTAAATCTAGTTATTTTAATACGATAAGTGAATAATAAAAAGCAAAAAACAAATTGAATATGTGTACAAATATTTCAAATCACACGTTCAAATACATTCGACCAATTATATTTCAACAATCATATCTCGATACAAATCTTCCCCCAATTATTCTCATTACAAGGAAAATATCAACACCGACAAGTATCGCGAAACCAATTCCACACTTGTCTAGGAAAATGAATAAATCCTGTTGCTCATCCTTCGATTTTACACCGCTTTCCAGTCAATCAGAACGACCCGTACTCAACGCCATTTATTCGCGATCCGGAATCGAATACGCGATATAATTGAGTTGAACACTTATATATATATATATACATACAAGACAGGAGGCGAGATCCTCATCGACGGATGATTTGTTTACGACGATAAGATTTCACGTATCGAACATCCTCGTGAAAGCGCCTGAGGAGCCGCCTCGACGTGTAACGAAGTAGTGGAAGCTCGCGTCAATCGAAAACGCGATCCACCCCTCGAGCATGAGAACGCGAATGTGTAACACAACCGATAAACCGAATGATATACGCGCGCTCGTGTAAAATGTATACAAATGAAAATTTCACCGTTGTCACCGTTACACATAAACGAATCGGAAAGTCGGCGATCCGTTCCATTATCTCGATTGGCAGTTTTCTAAAAGGATTAATCTTCGCCGGAGCTGTTGGATCTCTCGGTGAGAATAAGCAAGTGCGTCGAACGAGGATCGAATAGGCGCGTGAAATCCCGATTGTTGAACGAAGAAGAAGTGTATACGCCGCGCACAAGCGTTATAACCAATAGCGTCTCTATTCTCGTTGCAACTTCGCGACCCGTGTCAATTTTAACGTTTCACCGTGATTGCTTCCTTGTACGGGCGAGGTGAAATCTTGAATTAAAATCGTTGGCGAGGATTGTCAGCCGATAATGATAACGAGAGGGCATAGGCAAGTGCTAATAGCTCGACAGACGCGGGTCATCGATTTCATCGAGCGTTGAAAAGAGTTGAAAAGGAGCGAAAGGGATCGGCGCTCTTTGTTTTCGGCGAGAATCGAGCGAGGATTGAATGGGATTATTGTTCAAAATGTCTGTGAATAGTTGTCCTCTTTGTTGGGGATGCGCTTTCTACGAATGTTACACTCGCTCGAGGATGACGCGTTGAATATGTTAATTGGTATGGAAGAGTAGAATTTTGGGTGGATAATCGAAGGAATCATTAATTATAATGTGATTTCGTGCGAGAGAAAAGTATTCGAAAAGATTGTAAATTTTTGATCACATTCGTTGTGTTTGAATGTATATTATTTCAAGCCTTGTACGCAATCTTCTTTTCTTTTTTTTTTTCCCCCTCGAGACGTTAAAATAAACGAATAAAGAATTAAATAAACCCGCGCTAAACCCACGTATCAATTTTAATAAAACGGGTATACGCGAAGATTGAAGATTTCGAAAACCAGTTGACAGCTGATATTTAGCACTTTGCTCAAGAAACTCAAATTACATCGTGGCTTGCGAAACATTTAACAAGGTAGATGAGACTGACACACCGTGTCAATCGGAGTTTAATCATCGATAAAGGAACATTATCGAAAGATTTAAAAAAAAGAAGAAGAAGAAGAAAAAAGCAAACATCCAATCGACCACCTGCTCATTTCCAAAAATACCAACCGCGCAAAGAGAAGAGTCAAAGTTCCTTTCTCCTCCTAGATCGATTCTTCAAGCAATCTTAATCCTCAATCATCCTTCCACCGAATTTTTTAAAGAAATATCAAAGACAGATTTTTCCAAGGAAAATAAAATTAATTCTACACGTAACCATTATCGCATAATATAAACTACTTACTTACTTAGATACTCTACTACAATCGCTTCTATTATATATATCGATAATCAATAATAATTCTACCTCGCATTCATCATCAAAGACGTAGAGAGTAGGACAAATTGTATGGAATATCAATTCGTATTCATCGTATCACGAAAAAAAAAAAAAAAGAAAAGAAGTGAAAGAAACAACTTCCATTTTTCTCTTCGCCAAGGAATAGAAGAAAATGAAGAGAAATTTCACGTACTATCACTTTTCAATCTCGTCTAGATGATTCATTGACTCTCTAATTCTTGCCTCGCGAGGCCAACTCCTCGAGAAGAATCGGCAAATTGGCGCAATCGGTAATTAGAAACGGGTCCAACGAACGTTAATTCCCTCGAAGAAGAAACCGAACAAGATCCCGCGGGATCTCGCGAGCGGGCAGATCTCACGTAATCCGCCCGCGGCGCTCGTTCGTGGCAGAATAAATCAGGGGTCGGCCGACTTGAAAAATAGCCGCGTGGCATCCTAGTGTATATATTCGGGTCGCGAGGCCTGGCGATCCTAACAAATTGGTCCCGAAGCAAATGGGCGCCACGATGCCGATTTATTATTATCTATTTACGACGCGCCTTAAATCACGCGTACCAGGCAGAGTTTGCCTGGCGGCGGCACCAACCTCACGGGCGAAATCGCGAGGAAAGCAGGCGGAGGGAACGGAAAGTGGTATCACCGCCGCGTATTATTAACCGTTTAGCCAATTTGACAAGCGTTCTATACACTTTCGAATCGCACACGCGCACGATACAATCGCGCGCGATACACGCGCCCCGTGATTTATGCGTAAAAGCACAAGGACCCCTTTTTCCCCGCCGTTTCATCAACGCGCGCGTTACACGCGTTATTACCGCTGTTTTGCGATCGTGCCGATCTGATACTCGCTTTCGAGATCTGTTAACACGTTCTCTCAACCCGGCGAATATATATATAATTCTATTCGTTCTAAATAAATTGGATAATAATTAAGAATGGGAGATCGTATCGTGCGTTTAGTTTGCATGCATGAGTCGAATGCCTACCTTTAAAGATTCGCAGTTCGATTATTACAATCTCAAAGGATTAGGAAAAACTGGAATAAGATATAAATTCCGCTGGAATATATATATATGGTGTGTATCAATTCATAACGCAACATCACACCGAGAGCGGCAAGATCGATGACAAATCCAAATGGAAGATCGAGGCCGAAGAAACCGATTCCTCTCCGAATTTCACGCTCGAAAATTCGTGGCAGGATCGTGGCATCCCAACGAGGCACCGGTGTGCTCGATCGGTGACGTATTGACAGACGTGAACAAATGACAGCGCGCAGCTGGAGGGAAGCGTGGGTCCGTGGCTAACAAAGCGGGGATGCGAGCGCGGCGGGCATTATCATATTATGCTCGTTTGTAACTACAAATTGAGTTACCCCCGCGTGAACCCCCTCCAGATATATATCTCGTCGAGAGCACTGTCGAATATCGATAGCTCGCGATCGATACCCTTGCACCTCAACCTGCGCCCGATCCAGGAGGAATCCGATCGAACGTGAAAAATGATACGACTATGCGCGTAACCAGACGATCGGATTCGATAAGATATTCGCCTGATATATGCGTCGACGAATATTCAGAATATTTCGTTTCAGTGGTTCCACGCATATACCGGTGGAATTAGATTGTGAGAATCGTTCGCGAGGTGAAATTACTTTGGAATATTTTTTTGAAATTGGAATTTAGAATATGCGGTTTTAAAAAGTTTCGCGAAGAATTAAGATTGCATGTGATTTAAAACCGAGTTTCGCAAATTCAAAATCTGCTTCAAGAATAAATATGTTTATTAATCTGAGATGGCTGATATATTTTTATCGAAAGAGAAGGTAAGATATGTATAAGCGTTATCTAAAAGTGGATACGATAAATGTGTTTTATTGTTTCGAATCAACTGCGCACACGCTTTACGGTAACTAACTTCTCGGCGGATAACCTCTTTAAGATATTCTCACACGAAAGGCCTGAGGAATTCGAATCTGACGAGCATGGGAGTAAAATGAACCGTATACCGACGCCTACAATGTTGAAAATACCCGTCACTTAATATTTCTATATGTATATAATTATTGCGTATATTCCATCTCCCCGACAAATTATATTTGTTGGAGAAAAATAACGATGCAACGAATGTTCCAATGTTGAAAAATTCGCCTCTACACCTTTACCTTATATTTCATCCCGCTTAATCCTTCTAAAAACTCAAATTAATAATCCCACACCACGTTTCAAAACGTTTCGGTAACTAACAGGGGGATAACCCTGTCATCTTGGACACCCCACAATTTATCAATCGAATAGATTTTCACCTCGAGCGGGGAATCGACGGAGGAGGATCAACAACACGTGCAACACTCTCGATTGAATTGCTCCAGTGTTGCTCGCGATAATTTTGCAACAGCCACGGCTCGCTCGTTTCCACGCTGGGATTCACAGGAAAGGGAATGGAAACCGGAAACCACGGAGGAGGCGAGCGTATACACACATTCATTGAATCTCGTTCCTGGCAGATGACTAATACTTGATTTGACGAGACAACCATGAAGAAACTGTTATACATTGTTCCTTGATCATGGTTGGAAGCTGTGTGGGCGAATCTCGCCGTTATTCTCGATCCCTCGAGACGAGCGCAGACAGAAGGTGTTCCGCGAAAAAACAGGGCCATTTCTTGCGAAATTCAAATTATTCCTCGCCGAGGAGTCACACGTTTCACTCGTGTTACGCGAATACGTGTTTTACGACACGACGTTCGATCGAAAAAGAGGGAGGAAGGAATGAATCGCTTGCAATAAAAACTGTTTCGTTCGATCTCTTTTTGCATCTTTTGTTCGTTATACCGTTTTCTATTTTCTTTTTTCTCTCTCTTTCTTTTTTTTGCTCGTTCTTTTCGTGTTCCTTGAAAAACATAAGACGCCAGGAGGGACGAGGGATCATCGTTAAACGTTGACGTAACGCGATGTTTTACGGTCGATATTTTTTTAACGTATAAATCGGTCTCTTTAATTGGATACCGATTCGCGCGGCTTTCCTTTTTATTGCCTCGTAACGCGTTCGGATGGACCATGAAACGTAGCACTCTCGAAAATGACCTCCTTGTCCACCTGTGAAATATCGATCGTTGGGATCGATGGACATCTCAAACGTCGAGGCAATATCGAAAGATTCCATATTTTTATTAATTCGCCTCGAGAGGAAGCAAAGATTATATACAACCGAAATAGAATATAATCTAAAAATAACTCGAGGAAGCGGGAAAAAGGAAATTGCACGAGCTCGACGATCGAGTTACGTAAAAATTACAAAAAGGGAAAAGAAAATTATGCAAATCCAATTCTGCCGCCAAAAATATCGCAAAAATATCAAATCGTCTCGACGAGATACGCCTCCAAAAATCCTGTGCACGTCGAAAACCGCCACATCCCGCTCCGTCCTCATCTAAGCGCGATGTCCAGATGGTATCAGCATAAATCATCTCGTGGGAGGACAATAAAGCGCAAAAACCGACGCCCGTCGTAGAACACGGCTACTAGGAGGCCGCGATGGTCCATCTGAATCCGCACAGTGTCTAACAATGGCGATTGGGCAACGGCCGTGGCTACCCTCCCCGCCGGAGGTGAGCTCGTTTCCGCTCGCCATTTAGGGTCAGCGGGGGATGACAGAGGTCATGTTCCAATTACTCAACCGGAGAGGGCACCCACCTCCATCTTCATCTTCGTCGAACGGAGGGGAGGGGACGACGGTTGTTCGCAGCAGCCAACCTCGAGGATGCAACCTCGGCTCGAGACGACAATCGAGAGGTGGGAGGACAAACGATCGTTTACCTACGTGCGTCGCCTCGCTCCTCGGCCTTACCATTATGTCGTCGCGCGTGTGCATCAGCTATTTCGCCACCGCCATCAAAGCTGGCCTAAGGTCTCGATGAGCTGTCCCGCGTAATTTCATTTTCTACCGGCGACGACCCATTGTCTCCTCGGTGTCTATAAAGTAGGTGCCTCCTTCGACGGAGGATGGCGACGTCCGGCCGCTTCGACACCTTTCCCATTCCCAGAGGTATTTTCTACTTGCGATTTCACTCACAGTTTTAATAAACTGGTGTCGAGGAGAATAGCGAGGTGCGAAGTGTCTTGCAGCGTATCCCTGCTGCTCTCTTCGCAACACCCGACCTTTTCGAATCCCAAATCCTATCGTTCGCGCGTCTTTTCCCTTTTCTTCTTTTCAAGAACGAATAAATCTCAGACTCAACCTCTGCGTGCATTTATTTAAAAAAAAGCTGTTGCAATAAAAGAATTCAGCACATCTTTACGAGGACGTTTGAAGCGCGTTAACGAGAGAGAGAGAGAGAGAGAGAGAGAGAAAGAAAGAGAATTAAAAATCGAATCGAACGCGAAATGACGCAACCATCGCTCTTTAATCCGTCAATTAAGCGATCGTTTCTCGAGCGTGGTCACCGAGGTGTAACACGCTCGCCAAGTCGGTGGATCGCTTTGGGTTGAGCCGCGAAGCGGAAACATACGAGCTAGTTCTCGCCTTATCGGCATTTACTCGCCGCCCGCGCTCGCCTCTCGATACGATCGCGATATCGATCGTTCTCCCTCCCTCCCCCCCCCCCTCCCCTTCCCTTCCCTCGAGATCCGCTGTGCCCGGGGCTTATTTACGTATCCACGCCGAGCACGTTACCCACACGTTGGCACACACCAATTCCAAGGCGAGATATACGAGTGACACCGGCGACTATCGAGTAATTACCCGCCGATTCGATTACGGCCTACCACCGCGTATTCGCCGGCTATCCGCCGCGGCGCTGGAAGGTCTCCACCCACGCTTGGACGAGACTGTTGCGAGCCACCGAGTTGGCGCACCACGCCGTGTACACCGTCGTGTACGCTTGCGCGGGGGACACACCTGTGTGTGCGTGTCCCGTCCGATCTCGACATCGGCTGTCGGGATACAGGGTCGCGTGTAACCCAGCCGAGAATAAAGGCTGGATTGCGCCACACAGCCGATACGTACACGGGTATAGTGGCCCCCGCGACACGCCATAGTGGCGGACTTAGTCACCTTCTCGTCATGGGAGAGCCGAGATATAAGCCCGGCTCGATCGACCGGGCGAATGATTCATTCGGACGTGCCGCGACAGGGATGACTTCCGCCACCTTCTAACATTTTCACATCCTGTGGTGTATAGGGGGAGGGAGGGGAGGGGGGAGTGGAGGAGTTTCGATCACGTGTTCGAAGCGTGTCGAGGTAAGAACTTTATTTCCTCGCGTGCTACACGAGTTCTCGGAAGAGTCTGTTGTTGACTGGACGATGATGGAAATCAGGGGGAGGGTGGTTCGCATTGTTGGCGAAGAAAGGAAGGGACGCGAGTGAGAAGATTCGATAATTAGCAAGGGATATTTTCAAGTAGGATGAAAATTATCTTCGCTTTATCTTCTTTCCACAATCTGGAAATCATCTCTTGGCATTTGACTTTAACTTCAATTTCTTCAACTTGATCCTTAAACAGTAACCCTCCCCTAAACACTTCTCCCGATCCTTAAAATCCTCCTCCTCTCTGAAATCTCGCGGACAAGTTCGAGCAGCAGATTGCCTATCCTACCCTACCCTACCCTGTCCTGTCCCAGGAGGGGAGAACGTCGATGCGCGAGCAATCAGCGTGATAAAAACGCTGCTCGGGCAAACGACATCGCGGTCGATGGCTCCTCGAGGAAGGGAAGAAGGAAGGATATGCCGTTGGCACGAGATATACATATGTATGCACGCATAGCGCTGCGGCGGGAGCGGTTACGCTGATTGCCGTGTTTTCAAACTCGAAAGAAGAACTCCTCCCGATCCGGTGGGTCCGTGGGAATGCTGGCGAGTCGAGAGCGGCACGGACGAAAGCGAGAGAAGTGGACGGGTAAGAGAGGAAGGAGAGAGGATGGCTGGGTGCATGGGAGGCGAGGGAGGGGGAGGGGGAGGGAAGGAGGAAAGATACAAGGGGACTGCGGCTCATCACTCGCGAATTAACCCGCAGCATCTCGGCAACCACTTCTTCCACTTGGCAACCTGCCTAGATTCGATCTCTGATGAGAGTTTACGATCACCTAGCGCCTCTGGAACGGTAACGAATAGATCACACGGCTACTTAGGCCCCCGGCTCTTCAAAGGGAATCCGAGAAAATCGGGATGTGGCGGGATGCGTATTTACCGTTATGGGAACAACCGAGGAATCCTCAATTCCCTCGCCCCTCCTTCCCTGTTCTGCCTTCCCCGCCGGTGTCGCTCGTATCTCGCCGTTGCCCCCGTATCGAACAGATTCGAGCCGAGTTTAATGGCCCTGGTCGGACAAATGGAAGCGAGCCGGCCACCGATTTAAGGCTCGAGTCACGCGGATTTAAACGTCTGTTTGTTTACCCGTGACTGTACCGTCGGTGTATATAGAGAGACGGGGAGATTTACGATCAATTAGACGGGGAACAAAAGCCGGCCGTCCTCTCCTACCGCTTATTAAACTTTCATTTGTACTTTCCAAGGGACGAAACTGCCTCCTCTTTGGCGCGGGTGACCGATCGCCCCCACGGTCGAAGATCTATCATCGAAAGAAAGTGGCCGGCCCCGATTTAATGGACGATTTAATAGATCGAGAAGGAGAAACGAACGGGATCCCGTCTCTCGAGGCGGAATCGGTCTCTCGATCGGGGATCCGAGCGAATATAGGGGAACACAGCGTGCACACGAGTCGGCCGCGCAGGAATACACACGGACAGGGCTGTGGAACTCGCAGAGATCGGAGATACCGGGCGAAACAACGTTGACGCATTTATGCATGAGCAGCGGATGCCGTCAAGAGGCCCCCGGGGGTATATATATATATATATACCTTTCCGTAGATCGGCGCAGATATACACGGCCCTCTACGTATGCGCTAAGCCCTACCGTGATGGCGTTACCCTTTTGAACGGTCCTCACCTTTTTATCTCGCCATCCTATTGTCTTGCATCTTCGCCAAAAAACCGCGTCGCGTACGCGTCGGCATAATTTTTCAATTTGCTCGGGGACCGCCCCGAGATTCTATCTAACGTGGCCTTGTGTTGCACGAAATTGTTGGGGTAGCTCTGGGTCCATTGGTGGTGGTGGTGGTGGTCGAGAGAGGAAGACAAAAGATAGAGAGAGAGAGAGAGAGAGGGCTACGGTAGGGGAGGA